TGGAGATAGTTGGCGCCGGGGCTGCTTCATGACCATCAATCCATCCAAGGAGGAGATTAGCTGAAAGAGCTGTCTGGACATTGAGAGACCATGCCGGATAATTTGTTTCGGTGAGTTTTTCTGGGATTAAGTTGTGGAGACTTCGAAGCAAAAGTTTTACTCCGGAGGGTAAGGACGCCAAAGGATCCGACGGGGCTGCCATGGTGGGCGGCGGTCGGAAAAAAAAGAGAGGCTAGGTTTTTGAGAGCCTTAGCTCCGATACCATGATACAATTTGATAATAACTTGTCTTATTGAATATTGAGAGATATGGCTCTATATATAGGGAATACAAGAGTAATCAAAGTACAAGTAGGAAAAGAAAGAATAATCCTAGTAGGAAAGGAAAGAAGTATCCTAATTTAATTATACTTCCTAATAACATTCAAATCTACACCAAATGTTTTATGAGCTCACGGCCCACGCATCACTAAAATCACAAAATAATACGTTATTAATTTATTTAATTTATTTTCAATTTATTATTTTTTTAAAAATGGCAAAAAATTGAGACAATTTTGACATATACAAAAATAATAAATTATTGCGCACAAAAAGTTATTATATTGTCTTTGTGTGTCTGTAAAAAATTTATCGTCAAAGTGGTGTTAAATTTTTAGAAATCACCCTAAATAACAGTAAACACAGAAAAAGTATCCAAATAGGACCTCCATGTTTTTATTCATAAAATAGAAGTTTGCACGGTAGTAATGAGACATTGTACATGGACATTTGACAATACTTTTTGGTGATGTATATATACGATTATGATTAGCACTGTAATCCATTTTAATTCCTATTTCGAGAATAAAAACATGAAATTCTTATTTGAGTATATTTTAAATGTTTTACTCATACTTAACTACTTTAGTCTTTTTTCCTAAATTGTACACTTCTTGTCAGTGAAGCATAATCAATAGATAAATTTACCTAAATAGAACTAAAACATACTGATTTTCTCAATATAGGATCATATATTTTTATTTCCCAATGTAGGACCATTGGTCATTATCCATTAGTCATTATTCAAGTAAATGTCCATCATCACTAAACGGTATTCCTCCCACTAGACATTATTAAGTCATATTTAACAAATAAAAAAGTTTAAGTTCTACATTGGAAAATAACTTATATTTTAGTCTTATTTAGTACAAACCTTTTCTAATCAATAAATAGTACTCCCTCCGTTTGCAAAAAGGCTTCCTATTTTGACTTGGAGCCAAAATAAGGAAGTGTTAAATTATAGTTGACTTCCAATTTTGCTCCTGATGTGATGGGTAAAAGTAAGATCTGATGGATAGATTATTAGAGAAAAAGTATGATGTGATAGATAGGGTATGAAAAGGTAAGGGTAAAAGTGGTTTTTTAATAGAAAGTGAAAGTGTTTTGTTGGAAGTGAAAAAATAAAAGAAGAAGTGTTTTTTGAGAACGGAGGAAAATATGTATTTATCTTTGGTGTCCAAACTAATATGCAAAATTGGGTGGCCCAAACTTTATTCCTTACTCTCTCAAAGTAGAGGGGTACATTGCTATTCAGGCTGTCTTATCATGGATGAAGGAGGGCGTCACTACCTCCCTCACTGAAGCCTTAGGGTATGTTTGGTTGGAGATAGGTAAAATTTTTATTAGATAAGTAATGGTACGTAATTGTAGGTAGGTAATTGAAAGTAGGTAAAGTAAGGTAATGAGTAAAAAATTGTGTGAATATTTATTAGGTAACGTGAGGTAGGAAAAGAATAAAATTACTAAAATATCCTTGAGGTTCTTTTTCTTTATTTGTTTAGGACGTATTTATATGAAATTAAAATTTATTTAAATTTTAAATGTAAAATTTTAAAATTAAATAAACACTCTAGCAGAGAAAGAGTGAAAGGAAAACTGAAAATTGAAGTGCAAAAGTGAAAATTGCAAAAAATTGAAGGGCAAAAGTGCAAAAGTATAGTAGAACAAGAATCGAAGTGCAAAAGTGCAAAAGCAGAGTAGAACGAAAAAAGTGAGAAAAAAGTCTGGAAATTAAAAAAAAGTGAAAATTGAAGTGCAAAAGTGAAAATTACAGCGATGGGGAAGATTATGCAGTGAAAATTGTAGCGAAGGAAAACACGAAGATTATGTAGTGAAGATTATGCAGTGAAAATTGCAGGGAAGGGAAAAATTGCAGTGAAAATTGAAAAGTGAAGTGCAAAAAAAAATTGAAAAATGCAGCAAGAGGGTTATGGTGATCGGAATGGAATTGAAGAGCAGAGCAGTTCGAAAAAAAAAGTGCAAATTGAACTATGGCGATCGGAATACATGTGGAATGGCGATGGGCACAGTAGGAAGATGGCGATGTGAAGATGGTGACTGGCTTTCCTGCGATCGGGCGAAGGGTAGCGTTACCGTGATATTTGGCCAAATTGGCGGTCATATAAAATGCACTCTTGAGAGATAACCCTACCTCCCTCTACCTCTCCCTACCTCATTTGACCTATCTCAATTTTTGTTACCAAACAAGGTAGAATATTAAATCTACCTCCCCTTACCTCCAAACAAACATAGTGTTATGCACGGTGCCGGCAATTGTTGGAGGGACGTGGCCCCTTTTCGCGAGATATTCATCCGGGCGTTGTCCTTCGTTCTTTTTTTTTCTTTGGGAATAAAAAAATTTAAGTCCTACATTAGGAAAATCATTATGTTTTAGTCCTATTTAGTGCAAATTTCACTTTTATTAATTTTAATCAATGAAAATAATTCACATCTCCACTCCAATCATTTTCTTGTCACGCCTCTCACTCAAGCCTAACAACAAACATGTTTCTATCACTCCACGTCATATCTCTTTAGACTTTGTCGAACCCCATCAAGTACTCCCTCCGTCCGAAAATGTTCTTCCCGTGTTGACTTGGCACGCTTATTAAGAAATAGTAAAAAAATGCAAAATTTTCAAAAATGCACATATTATAAACTTTTAAATCTCCTTTTATTATTAAAAAAGTACTAAAAAAGTAGATTTGTGATAAAATAGAAGGGTATTATTGATATTTAGCCTTAAAAAGTATACTAAAAAAGGAAATGAGAAGAATATTTTCAGACAGACCAAAAAGGAAAATTGAAAGAATATTTTCGGACGGAGGGAGGGAGTATTTGTTAAGTCCGCCATAACACATGCTCTGACAATAATTGTGGGTGTTCAAACGGAATGTATATCCCAATTTCCTAGTTTTCTTCGTTTAAGTCAAAAAGACAATAAGACAAAGACACAATTTCAACTATTTTCAACTGTGGGGATTGAATAAGGGAAAACGAATTTTGTTTCGGATCATTACCAATTCCGGTAAATTCTCGAAAATTGGGGGATCCATCTTCATCCATATACTCCATCCGTCCCAAAAAGATTTACACCTTTCAAAAAAATTGTGTCCCACAATCTCCTACCCATTTCTATTAAAAAACCACTTTTACCCCTTACTTTTTCAAACCTTACTTATCACATCATACTTTTTTCCTAATAATCTACACATCACATCCTACTTTTACCCATCACATCAAGGGTATTTTTGGAAAGTCAACACAAAATTATTCCTCCCTTAATTTCTACTTTAGTCAAAATGAGTAACACTTTATGGGACGGAGGGAGTATATGTTTCGTTAATTAAGAATTCCAATATAATACTCCCTCCGTCCCATAAAAAAAGTTACGTTTCACTTTTTTGCGCGTCCCAAAAAATACGTCTACCCACATCTAAAATACTTAAAAATTACCACATTTATTCTTTATTGTGGGTAGGAGTCGTTTTGAAAGTTTTTTTAGCGTTCGAGATGATATACAAATGTTTTATGAAATACGCAAAAAATGAAATGTAACCTTTTTTATGAGATGGAGGGAGTAAATGATATCCCAATAATTCTTTGACACCCAATTAGCTGAA